ATTAATATTAATGTAATAATTGAATTTCGATTATAAATAGTTACAGCATAAGTTATAATAATTTATAATAATATTGTAGCTTATAATCAATAAATTGTAGTGATTTTATATTTGTGTGCAAATATTAAATAATTAGTTATAAAATTGTGTGAATTTGCATTTTAACAAATTGTTATCACAACTGAGCGACTGATTTAATGTGAGTTTTAAATTTCATATAATTATGACTACTATTTCACAACTCATTTCCAGTTGATTTGATTTTATCAATTATATATAAATAATAATTACATGTTTTAAAAATGCCATTTGTGTGACTCAATCGGCATTTTATTAACATTTAATAAAAATAAAAAATCACTTACAAAATATTAATTAATTTACTTGAAACTCAAATGGTTTTCAATGACAGGAACTAATCAGAACTTAAGTACAGTCAAAATCTGTTCAAGTTAAGGTTAAAGAATATTTATTAAATATATTTTAAAATACCACTTAATATTTTACATAAATATTTATATAATAACTGCAAACAATGTTTTGATTTCTGAAAATCAAATATTTATCTATTGGATGATCTCATATAAACATTGGGATAAATATGTGTATTGTATGTAATCTAAAAGTGTTTGAAATAATTTGTCAATTAATTTCCACATGTTTTGCCATTTGTTGTCTGGTTTGAAAACTGCTTTTGTTTCATATTGTTATAAATACCAGTAATTTATTGACTTTCACACCGAAAATATAAACTAAAACCCTATTTGTGTATTAATTCTCATGTATAACTTAGTTTACTCACAACTTTTATTTACTAAATCAATATTAAGTTAATATTATTAACACAAATTAGAAAATTCATAAAATTTTTAACTTGTTTAAAGATTAAACAATTTTTGCAAACAAAATAGTATTAATTATAGCGAGATATTAGTGTATTATAAATATAATAACAAAAGTTTTTAATTCACGAAACTAAACACAACTGTTAATAAATTAAATATTTTATAGTTTGTTATGAAAAGTATATTTTGATAGACATTTAGTACAGTATAATATTATTTGTAAAATGATATTAATTTTCCGGATAATTGTACAAGTGCATTTAAATATTAGCATCTAATTTAATGCAACATTTATTATTTTTTGTGTTTATAGTGAGAATTACATGTACAATATATCGTTAATAATAATTATTATTATTAATTATAATTATGTAAATGAATGACTGAATAAACAAAGATTTGTTTTGAGAAAATTTTAAGTTTATTTAATACTGTATTCCCTGTTTGCTTATACACTATACAGTAGTGTATGAATTAAGATTATAATTATACTTATTTTGTGGTTTAAGAAATAAACGATTCATTTGTAATGATGTGTTCATTTAGTTTACGAAAACATAACTCTAATATGTATTCAACAAACTCATTGACTTTATTCCCGGTGCCAGACATGACGGCAAACGGCGATACGATGGGTGTTATGAATAATGGCGCAGATTTGGCGGACCCTTCGCCCAGAAATGACTCCGATTATGAGGACTTACCACCGATTAACTCGGAAAATGATGACTTCACTGACACAGCAGCTATTGCCAATTGTAAGCAAGCAGATTTATTGTCAAATTAAATATTAGAGTTATAACTTATAAGGAAATTAAATACATAAAACAAAAATAACTAGAATAAAATATTGGGTTTTATTGTTATTCATAATAAATTTAATAGTGTTTTAGATACAGAATTTCCTAATTCAGTGACAGAATCGTGAAAAACTTAAAATAAAAAAATTCTCAAATTGTATATTCAATTGAATAATGTGTTTTTATGATCGCACCGGTAGTATCAATACAACGCATCCCATACAGCCGTCTATACGACCCGCCAAAGAGTTTCAGTGATCCCACGAATCACTGGCTTTTGCCTAACATTCCGCTCAAAGTGAAGATAGTGAAGGCCGAGCACAGGACCGGCAATCATATACTCAATCCCTATCTTTATACCATTCAAGTGGAGCACCAGCACTACCAATGGGAGGTCAAGCGCCGACACACCCACTTCCAGCACCTACACCAACAGCTGCTCATGTTTCGCACGAGTCTGAGGATACCGTTGCCCATCAAGAAGTATAGGACCAGACGTAAGACCATTAGCGAGAAGAATAGGAAACCCGTCCCACGGTTTCCCAGACGTCCCGAAGCGCTCATACTATCGACCGAAGCACTCGAAGAACGTAAGGTTTGTTTGCGAGTGACTTATCATTGAATCCAATTGTGTTTTGTTTATAGGGATCAGACATTAGGTTAAAAATAATTTTCAATTTACCATTTATTACCATAAATAAATGTTTTTGTTAGAGTTTGAAATGCTATACAATTAATATGCTGTTTTGATAATTCTAATTGCTAATATTTATTATATGGTGTTATCTATTTTAATTTATTCATAGAATTTTTAATTAAAAATTAATTAAGTAGTTTCAATAATTAGAGTATTTTATATTTAAGCATAAATTTGATATTAATTTTTACGTCAAATATATTCTGTATTACAAAATATTAATTTCAAGAATTAAAATACAGAAAGAACTGGAAGAATATCTGCAGAACTGTCTGAAGATCCCGATGTATCGCAATCACCACGAGATGATGACATTCCTGGAGATCAGTCCCGTCTCATTCATCGACGAGTTGGGACATAAGGGCAAAGAGTTTCTGGTGATGAAGAGGGCCGGCGGCTTCCGGAAGGCCTCCTGTTTCACGCGATTCGAGAACTTCATTACAGACATCACCGGACACTGGAGGAAGAGGTGGCTTGTCGTTAAAGACTCCTGTATTCTGTACATTAGGCCTAAAGACGGGAGGATACGCGCCGTTATGCTCATTGATCACGGATTCACCGCTAAAGCTGGTAACTATAGTCATCAGAATATTCTTTACAATATTGCTTTAAATTGTACAGTAATAGTAAGATGTTATCTCAATTTGTGAGTTTATTCTTAATTGAAAATATTAGAATATTCTTGAGATTAAAGGGGAATATTCTAAGTGAGATAACTTACAATAAATACAATTCTTTAGTATAAAGCTTTCTTTACTTCAAAAATATTGTGTTCATTATAATTAGAGATGTAAGTCTCGGTATAATACATAAAATACTGTATTTTAACATCCTAAATTATAATATCATAGTATAGAATTAGGATATGAATTAATAATTTCAAAATTTTAATTTTAAAATTAATTGTCCTGTCAGTATTTACTATAGAGATTGAACTAATATATACGGTAATTGTATTCTGTGTGTTAGGTGTGTCCACAGTGGGTGTACACCACGGCGTCCGCATATCCAATATGTCACGAGATCTGTACCTCAAATGTTGGACATCGCGAAAGGCACAGGAGTTGTCTGAATACCTGATTCAAACGGGTGAGTCATATGCCCAAGACTTCACTAACTCCAACCGGTATGGCTCGTTCGCACCCAAACGGGACGATACCAGTGCCCAATGGTTCGTAGACGGGGCCAACCATTTTGAGGCCGTTTCGGAGGCCCTCGAGGCCGCCAAAGAGGAGATCTTTATAGCCGACTGGTGGCTCAGCCCTCATATCTATATGAAAAGGCCTGTTAGTATATTTATTTGTCTGAAATAGCTGTCCATTTGTGAATAAAATTCATACTAATTGTGTGCCAAAAATGTTGAGGTCATGGACGGAGATCACTGGCGCTTAGACCGCATACTGGAGCGCAAGGCTCGGGAAGGCGTTCACGTGTATATCCTGGTGTACAAAGAGGTGGAGCTGGGAATCAGCATAAACTCGTTGCTCACCAAACAGTGGCTCATGAAACTGCACCCAAACATACGGGTGCTGAGACATCCTGACGCCGTGAGGGGCGGACCCCTGTTGTGGTCGCATCACGAGAAGCTGGTGGTCGTCGATCAGAGCTACGCCTTTGTGGGCGGTATTGACCTATGTTTCGGCCGATGGGATAACTACGAGCACCGGATCACCGATTTAGGGGGTATTGTGTTCGACACCTCCGACACCAGCATTAAGGAGTAAGTCTCGCATACAGTTCCCATTGATTATTGTAATCATAATTTGTTTGCAATTATAGTCACACAATATATAACTCTACGTCGCCGTCGGGTCTGAAATTGAAATCCATGTCACAGTCGCAGACCTCTCTCAGCTCCTGGAGTGTTGAGCCCCTCAATGAAAGTATCAATGAAAGTGTAAAATCTCATACTAATGAGAAAGTGGTTAAGTTTGCACTGGAAGAGGACAGGGATGATGACAGAGAAAGTGAAGTTTTCAATGTACAAGGCAACGAAACTAATAATAATAATATTGCAAATCAATCGACAAATCCTGACATTAAATTCAGTGATATTCCGCTCAATGATAACAATATTACTCCTAATAAAGAGGGTGTCGATGAGGTTGACGCTCAGCCATCTACTAGTGAGGCACATGGAGGTACGTTCAAACTGAGACTGGCCTCTAAGTTACGGACCAAACGGCTACAAGCAGTCGCGGTATGTATTGACTCAATACTATTGAATAGTAAAGAATATTCTGTATATTATCATACATAAAGTATTTTGTAGAATATTCTGCAATACAATGAATTTTACTCAAAATAGTAATTTAAACCAAATGATTATAATAACAGAAATTCGCGCGAATGCGTCAATTCACTCGTCGAGCCCAGGGAACTGACTCCGAGTGCGACCCCCAGGACGTGGCCAATGATGAGCTGGACTTTTCCATACCGGGCATCAAGTCAACGGACACCGGGGCTGCTGTCAAAGGCCTGACGGGTGGCTCGAAACTGTGGTTCGGCAAAGACTATTGCAATTTCATAGTTAAAGACTTTGTCGATTTGCACCAACCCTTCATCGACTTAGTCGACCGAAATAACACACCGCGTATGCCGTGGCACGACCTCTCCTGTATGGTTACCGGTGCTGCGGCCAGGGATGTGGCCCGACATTTCATTGAACGCTGGAATTTTACCAAATTTGAGAAAGCTAAGTTTAACGATACATATCCCTGGATACTTCCTAAAGCCTATACCAATGCCGAGACTATAAAAGCGCCCAAATTCCTGCTCCGGTCGGTACCGGTGTCCGCACAGGTGGTCCGCTCAGTCAGCGACTGGTCTATCGGTCATAAGCGCACCGACACGTCAATACTGACCGCTCACATCGATCTCATTAATAACGCCAAACATTATGTCTATCTTGAGAACCAGTTTTTCATCACTCAGTCGGCGAGTCCACCACTGGATCCGTCAGAAGTGGTCATCAATAGTATCGGTGAAGCCATATATCATCGCATTGTCCGCGCCTTCAGGGATGGCCAGACGTTTCGGGTGTTTATCTTTTTTCCATTACTTCCGGCGTTTGAAGGTATGGCCACAGACTTCGAGTGTAATATAATAAGAAAATAATGATTTTGACTCACAATTGGAAATGGATGTCATTAATCAGGTGAAATCGGTACGAGTCGTGGTGTTGCCATCCAAGCCATCACTCACTATAACTACGCGACTATATGTCGGGGCGAGAATTCACTGATAAACCGACTCCGGCGCGAAGTGGGCGACCCTTTCAATTACATATCATTCTATGGGTTGAGAAACTACGGCGAACTGCACGGAAAGTTGGCCACAGAACTCATTTATGTGCACAGGTATGCATATAATACACTAAACTTGCTATTCATTTGAATACAGAATATTCTTGAAATAAATTGATTTTGATTACTAGTAAACTGCTATTAGTGGACGACAACAAAGTGATAATCGGTTCTTGTAATATCAACGACCGGTCAATGGTGGGCAACAGGGACTCGGAGGTGGCCGTAGTTCTCACTGACCAACAGTTCGAGCCCAACGCCGTTATGAATGGCCAGCCCTACGATAAATGTGGCAAATTTTGCGGCGCCTTAAGGCGTTACCTCATGCGAGAGCACTTGGGTTTGTTTGGTGGGTCGACCTCCAAAGTCAACGACAAACCACCGCCACTGCCGGACATCGACATCCGGGACCCGATTAGTGATAAGTTCTATAAGGATGTCTGGATGGCCAGTGCGGCCAAGAATGCAGCCATTTATGAGCGAGTGTTCCCTGTGGTGCCCACCGATCAGGTCAAGTCATTCGCACAGCTCCGGGAGTACCTCAATAAGCCAAAACTGGTGCACACCGACCCTCAGGAGGCGCGCAAGTGTCTCGAGAAGGTGAGGGGACACCTGGTGCTGATGCCACTCAACTTCCTGGAGAACGAAGACCTGACACCCGCCTGGGGTACCGGCGAAAAGCTTATGCCCTCATCCCTGTGGACGTGAGCCATACATATCGGGTATAGCTTTGATATACAGGACTCACACACACTCTCTCCAAGTCTGGTATAGTCTGTATACCGGATCTCATAGTAATCAATGGTATACCAAAAAATGACATGGATTATTGACTGTGCAATACTTGCTCACATATATTTAGCGTTTATTTTATTTAAAACTATGTAAAACATAATATAATTTAATAATAAAATATTAAAGTAAATAACAATTTTAAAACAGATTATACCGTAAGAACCTTTTGAAACAATACCCTCGTGTTTGACCATTGAGTTGTCGATGAAGTTCTTGTGTCTTAAAAGCTGTTCAAACTCAGTGATGAATCCGTTGTCCAAAACCCATACAGCCTTTTAGCCGCACCAACACATCCCTGACTAATGGATAGTAAAGCTGAGGATATGACCACCATTTCCATGAAACCAAATATAAACACAAACAACAGACACAGTCTTAGGATCAGACTTAAGCTGCGATAGTCTGTCAGTTTGGGTATGAGTGCATCGGCCGACCACTCACTCAACCACAGACCCGATGCTATGCCAATGATATACGACAAGAGTATCACAATCAGGTATTGGACGCCAACCAATCGGAAACACTTCTTATAAATATGCGTATTGACGGAACCGGCCTCTGGTTTGTCCTCTTTTATCAGTTTTCGTTCATTTTGTTGTATGTCTTGAGTCTGATCTCCAGTTCCACACATTTTGTGGCAATTGTTATGAGCAGTGGTCGAGACATGTCTAACTGATTCACATGATTCCTGTCTCAACACATATTCCGCCACCAATTCGGCGAAATCTCCTCTTTTAGCGATCAGTTCATCGAATGATCCGAATTCAGAGATCAGTCCCTCCTTTAAGACAATTATTTTGTCGACTTCTGGCAAAACCGATGTCTTGTGTGTCACTAAAACATTGTCTTTCGGATCAACGGGTAGTTGTGGGCAGAGGGGCGTCAAAGGGACACCGGAGTTGATCCCAATACCAATCTTAGGCAGAGTATCCAAAATAGCTTTTCGTGCCATTAGTTGTGCCATAGCTTTGTCCTCAATCACCACAGCCTCGGCCTCTGCTCGCAGTCGTATGGCTTCTGCCTCTCCTTCAGCCGACATAATCATGTGATTCCTGTGCGCGTCGGCCAACCTCTCCAACCGGTACTTCTCGGCTTCGGCTGGCAGTCGCACCGTTGCCTTCAACTCCCTCTCCCGACGAACGACATCCAGTTCCTGCTCCCGGATCTGTTGCAGTTTCTCTACCAGTTTTACCTGAAATACAAACACACAGACAATGTTAGCACACATTATGTCACACATAAATGTGGGAATGGGTGCTGACCTCCATTTGCTCGGCTTTAATGCGTTGCCGCGTTTTGGCCGTCTGTAGATCGTAGGACAGGTCCGACACAGCCATCATAGCCCACACCTTCTCATCAAAGGCAGCCTTTTTAAGCTCGCAATCGGCCCGGGATTTAGCTATTTGTGTGGCGTTCGCATAGCGGGCGGACATCAGCTCCTGTTCCGCCAACGCCTTCCCTATGAGCGCATCCCTCACGGCCTCGGCCTCAGCCACGCGTCCGTCTCTCTTCACTTGTGCAGCGCGTGTCAGTCCGAGTGCTTTGAGATACCCGTCCCCGTCAGTGATGGCTTTGATGGTATACGAGATGATAACGAATCCCATGTGCGCCAAATCACTCGCAGCCCCGTCTGACACCTTATCCGTGAAGTTCTTGAGATTCGTGTGGATCTGATCGACGCTCATGGAGGCGATGACAGCTCTCTGGTGTCCGTCCAGTGTCTCAGAGATGGCGTCCATTATCTGCGGCTCTGATTTGTCTAAGAAGTGCTCGCAGGCGGCGCTCAACATGTCGGGGCTGTGGCCGGGGATCTTCACTACAGCTGTTCCCGTCATTGATATAACCACTCCGTGGCGGCTGTGCACTCGCAATGACTCGATGGTCAGACACATTGCGTTCAGCGATATCCTATAGACATGGACACAGACATCACGTGTAATGATAGCACTAATGGATGACAAACCACGTGACAAACCTCTGAACCTTTTGGATGAGTGGCCACACGAAGACACGACCGCCGGGTATGATAAGTGGTCGCCGATGACCACATCCTATGGGAAGTACACCGCAAGACATGAAAAGAGCCGTCGATTGGCACCGGGAGGGCATACCTGACACCACGAGTGCCTCATTGGGTCCACACGTGTGGAAAGCAGTCATCGCATGAATGGACAGACAGTGAGTGAGCAGTGAATCACTTGATTGGCGTGAATGCAGTGAATGGCCAGTAATTGTGCGCTCAATGCATGAGCTGTCAGACTGTCGGTGCAGTCAATGAGCTGTCATTCCGTTTGTTATTGTTTTCAGTGCTCTAGAGGTCTATCCATTGGAAGGGTGGGTCAGTAGTATTCCCTCACTCCCTCCCAATTGTTATTTGACTTTTAAAAGTAAATTATTGCCTTGATCACTCTAAGTTATAGTTATGATTATACTTGTAATCTATTACTATTGATTTAATCCAAAATCACGTTCAAACCGAAGTAAATGCCCTAAAGTGTCGTTCCCTCCCTGACTTGAGTATACATACTATTAAATTGTGTAAATGAACGTGATGCTTTTGAACTGTCAAACACTTGCAATCAGATTAAACTTTATAGTTATTTCTGATTGCAAATCATGTAATTTAATAACAATTAGACTCAAATGACGCTGATAGATTAAGCTAACTATTACTGGATCTATGTGCTATGATCTGACATGATCAAGGTATTTATAACTTCTAATTACCATATCAAACAAAAAGTTTGATAACCAAGTTTAAATTTTAACTTTTTGTAGTCTACCAAACTGCTTTTTCTAGTATACAAAAGTTAAATTGCATTTTAATTAATTAAGTTTTATTATTAAATTTTATATCATTTTAATATTCAAATTATTGAGACATTCAGACAATGCCCTCGTGTTTGGCCATCGAGTAGAAGATGGAGTTGTTGTCAGTCAAGAGCTGTTCCGGAGACCCGAACTCAGCGATGGATCCGTTGTCCAAAACCAACACTTTGTCGTAATCTCTGATTGAATTCAATCGATGAGCGATTGTCACGACTGTCGAGGAATCAAACTCTTCGCGGATTGTCTTCTGAATCAAGTCATCCGTTTCCATATCGACCGCTAATTAACACAAATATAGTAATCATTATTAGGATGTGATGTCAGTGTATGTGAGGGACAGACATACCAAGAATCAAACTCTTCGCGGATTGTCTTCTGAATCAAGTCATCCGTTTCCATATCGACCGCTAATTAACACAAATATAGTAATCATTATTAGGATGTGATGTCAGTGTATGTGAGGGACAGACATACCAGCGGTGGCCTCATCTAAGACCAGGACTCGGGTGCGTCTGAGCAGAGCTCTCGCCAAACAGACCAACTGTTTCTGTCCGACACTCACGTTCTCGCCTGAGATAGAGATCTCGTGATTGAGTCCACTCTTCAGACTCTCCACAAATGTCTTCAGATGTGCCGACTCTAAGGCACTCCATATCTCTTTGTCTGACCACTGATCCAATGGATCCAAATTGTGACGCAAAGAGCCCGCGAAGAGTACCGGTTCTTGAGGTATGACTGTTAGCCGAGACCTCAAGTCATGCAAACCTATTGTCGAACAGTCGATGCCATCGATACTAACCGTCCCATCAGTGGCTTCAATGAGTCGGAAGAGACCCAAAGCCAGGGATGACTTTCCAGCACCGGTTCGGCCCACTATTGCCAGCCTTTCCCTCGGTTTGACATCTAATGTGATGTTTTTGAGCACTAAATCCAATTCCTGTCTATATTTAGTGCTATAGTTGGAGAACACTATTCCTCCCATTAGTGGCCAATCGGACGGCGGTTTTGTCCGATCGTTGAACCACTCGGCCTTCAAATCACATAAAAATCAGTTATTAATAAATAAAACACAAAAATTACAGAATATTCTTATCAAATGATTGAACAAATATCTAAACTATTTGAATGTTCAAAACAAACTCTAGTAATTTTTAAAACTTTTTTACTCTATTCAAGACATAAATTATATCAATACATACCTCGGAAGGCATTTCTATGAACTTCAGACACCTCTCGACGGCCAGGATATCGGTCTCTGTTTCTGTGACACCGTAAATGAATCGCTCGATAAGAGTGGTTATGTTGAGGGCATAACTGATGGCCAGTGCGGCCACACCTGCACTCACTGTCTCTCGAAAGACAACTGAAAACAGAGCCGACAAAAACACTATACTGTAGCCCAAGAGCTCTAATCTTATAGCGAGCCATCCCCGGGAACACACCAATTGATAGGCGCAGGCATTACTCCCATCGATACGACTGTGCGATTCACGAAGGAAATGCCGTTTTGCTCCATAGGCTCTAATGGTAGACGTGCCGTTAAATGTCTCTCCAAAGTGACTGATAATATGGGAACTGGATGTCGATATTAGTCGTCGTATTTGCCGTAAACCCGCGGAATAAATGCGTTGACACCTGACATACGTTATGATTATGGGAAGTATAGCTAATATAATAAGCGGTGTTTCCAGAGATATCATTACCATCGATACGATTAGTGAAAAAAATTTCAGACACATTATACGGAAATCAAACAGTAGTTCACTATCTATGAGCTCCATGTCCTCCGAGAATCGGCTCAGATTACGACCAATAGGTGTTGTGTCTGAAGAATAGGTCGAGAATTGTAATCTATATCAAGAATTTCTATTAAAAATTAATACAAATAATACCGAAGTAAGCGACGGGTGCTCTCATCATACGCTCAATCAGAATCCGATGCAACCGTTTAGCCGCACCGACACATCCCAGACTAATGGACAGTTGGGCAGACAATATGAACACCGTTTCCACTAAACAAAACCCAGCGAACAGCCCCAGTCTTATCATACGTAGTCTATAATCGTGGGCTAGTTAGGCGTCGAGTGCATCGGCCGACCACTTACTCAACCAAAGTCCCGACACTACGGCTCCGGTCTTTGCGATAATATACGACAATAATATTACAATTAGATACCGGACTCCAACCAAATGAAAGTATTTCTTATAGACATGGGTTTTCATGGAACCGGTCTCTGGTTTCTCCTCATCTATTAGTTTCCCATCATTTTGTTGTATGTCTTGAATTTGATCCCCAGCTTCTGGTATTTTCTGGTCTTCGCTATCAGTAGTCGTCGAGATATGACTTCCTTGTCGTCGGACTAGACCATCGCTGGCCAATGAGTTACGCGATTCTTGTCTTTCGATAATTGGTTTCACTCTTTGTCTCAGTTTTGCTAACATTTCTAACTCTTTCTCGTCTTCGATGTCCACCTCTTCTGACTCCTGTCTCAACACATATTCAGCTATAAATTCAGCGAATTCTCTACTTTTAGCGATCAGTTCATCGAATGATCCGAATTCAGAGATCAGTCCCTCCTTTAAGACAATTATTTTGTCGACTTCTGGCAAAACCGATGCCTTATGTGTCACTAAAATACGGGTTTTCTTCCGAAGAATACCTTTTGGACCGATTGTCTCATCAAATAAATGTCTGCCGACGTGGGCGTCAACAGCACTGGCAGTCAAACAGGTATTCAATTAAAGATAATAAATATAATTTTATAATTAATACCTTAAGGGGTCGTCCAATAAGTAGATGTCAGCGTTTGAATAGACAGCCCTCGCGAGTGAAACCCTCTGTCTCTGTCCGCCCGACAAATTGATTCCCTTTTCGCCGATTTCAAATTTTATAATTAATACCTTAAGGGGTCGTCCAATAAGTAGATGTCTGCGTCTGAATAGACAGCCCTCGCGAGTGAAACCCTCTGTCTCTGTCCGCCCGACAAATTGATTCCCTTTTCGCCGATTTCTGTCATATCTTTCGCCGAAAGGATCTCCAAATCGGGTCTCAAAGCACACGAATCCAACACTTTCTCATAGAATCTCTCATTATATATCTCTGTCCGCCCGACAAATTGATTCCCTTTTCGCCGATTTCTGTCATATCTTTCGCCGAAAGGATCTCCAAATCGGGTCTCAAAGCACACGAATCCAACACTTTCTCATAGAATCTCTCATTATATTCATTAGTAAACAGAATATTCTGTCTGATTGTCGTATTCTGAATCCATGCCTGTTGTGAGACATAGGCTACCTTTCCATCAATATTGACATAACCATACCTATTCTTCTCCATATCTCCCAATAGTGCCGACAGTAAAACAGAATATTCTGTCTGATTGTCGTATTCTGAATCCATGCCTGTTGTGAGACATAGGCTACCTTTCCATCAATATTGACATAACCATACCTATTCTTCTCCATATCTCCCAATAGTGCCGACAGTAGGGATGACTTTCCGGCGCCGACCTGACCCACGACTGCCACCAAAGAGTTTCTCTCAATATTTAAATTAATATTTTTGAGTACTTTATCACTCGATTCCTTATCCCATTTGAATGAAGCGTTTTTCACAATAATAGGAGTCCTCTGATTGGTATTCCTTTCAATAAAGTTCTCGTTGACTTCATTAGCGTTTAAATACTTATTCATTCGTTTCACTGATACTCTGCACTGGATTTGAATTGAACTGAAATTATTATTTCATAAAATAACTCATACCGGTATTAAACTTACTAACCATGATAGAGGCAGTGATAAGGGGTGGAATCATAGTTATCGGTCCCTCTATTTAGTAAATTGATTTAATTAAAAAACCTGGCTTAATATTCATAAACTACTGTGCTACTATCATGTAAGATAATCTACTTACTCATTATGTTAAACAGTAGTAATGAGACAAATGCTTTATTCGCGTCCAGAATATTATTGTTTGAGATGAGTATAAATGCCGTAAAACTAACTAAACTGACCTATTTTTGTATGAAAAATATAATATTAAGCATTTAACAAAGTAATAATATTTAATGTATCTACAAGTTACTGCATAAATTAAGTACTCACTAAGAATGGTGTGGCAACTATGATGGCAATTTGAATAGTACCCAGTTTCATTATTGAGCTCAACGTATTAGTCTCCTGAAGCCTGAGTTTGAGCACCTGATCCATGAACGAGCCCTCCCAGGCATACAGTTTCAACACTTTAATACTGTTCACAATTTCAGTGATGGCTTTCACTCTCTTATCCTTAAACTCAAGAATTTTAGCCCAAAGCCGGT